AGAGTTTTAGCTTTTAGTTTTAATTACTTTTTCTTATTTGTAAGTCGCTTTGGATAAAAGTGTCTGCTAAATGACTAAAAGTAAGTAAAGTAAAGTAAAGTAAAGTAAATATGTTCGGTCAGTTTGCACACAAGACATTTACTATGGAGTTGTAAACATAAATTGTATTAATTACTGGACTTCGTTTTGTACTGAGAGGTACATTTGCAGACGGTCCCTAAAGCAGCCTAGGCGAATGTCTGGCGAATATCGAAATATCTAAAACTAACTTTACCCGTTCTTACAGCGTTGATGTCACTCGGTATAGTCCGTGGGATGAGAGACGAACCGACGCAAATGATTGAATCTGTCGTACAAGTGCATTTGAATATTCGCTTTGATCGGCACAGTTGAAATGAACAAATGAACAGTAAAGTTACCAAAAGACACTTTCGGATGGAAGATTGTTTATCGGTTGTAAGATGCATGGCTTTGAAGCGGAGTCGAAACCAAACGCCCCCCTGTCCCGCACAGCACAGTGAAATGCAGCATGAAGGACTGACTTCAGAATCAGCAGCTCTGATGCAGTCAGTGCTTTAGACTGTCCCATTAGAGGAGGCATCTCGAGTCCAATAAAGCTAATGAAAGTAGGCATGCAACTGTCAAATCATACCACTACTGTTTATTTGTGTTTGTACTTGCCTTTAGATGCTTTTAAAATGTGCTGATTATTGTTTTATCAAACCTCTGTTTTCCTCTTTGCTACAAGCTATTAACTGAAATAGGTTAAATGTAATATGAACAAAACTGTTCATCTGTATATGTGGAGCAAGTATGAAAATGCACATATTATCTTGGCAATGAAAACATGTGTCAAAGTGGAATAGGCTATGTGGTAATGACGCAGCAGTTCATTGAATGAATGGTTCTGTGTCTTGTGTATCAAGCTTCATGGACACTAGTCACTGGTTAATGCTACATTTATTGTATAATATTATTTACATGAATATGAGCTCAAGCTGTATTTATGTTGTCTATTTCCCTACAGGTTATACTAGTAGATGCTGCATAAGTGACAACAATTTTTCAAAACATTTCAAAACTAAAACATTTAAATGAAAACAAAAAAATAAAGCTAAAAACAATTCAAACATACACAAATAAGAAAAAGTAATTAAAACTAAAACTAAATGCACAGTATGCACAGCATTAATCATTTAGAAGCAGGTCTGATTTCAGCATGTAAGCTTTCTGTCTATATGTGACCAGGGGAGGTGCTTAAATTCCACTCCTACAGTCTGCCACTTTTACTGAAGTATATACATCAGAAGTTTTCATCTGGTTTTCCTGCAGAGCAAACTCCCAATGCATCAACAGAAAACAAAGGATCATTACAGACTGCAAATTCCTATATTTGCAGCACTTTAAAAAAGCAAATCAATACAGACCACCTCATCAGAAAGGCCCACCAAAAACTCTACTTCGTTAGACAATTAAGGAAAATCGAAAACCAGTCGGCAGTTTAGACTGTTGTGGAGACCATTCGGACAGCATCCATCAGTATGGCACTGAAATGACTTATTTTGGCTCATATGTACTGATCTCCTTTTAGCACATCTAATGCACCAATAATACACATTAAAAGATTACAATGGAACCATCTCACCCATCGTGTCAAAGAAGCCTGAAATCACTAACAGCTAAAACATCCTGATTAAAGAACATTTTCCTTTAAACAGCTGCCAGTCAATAAACATTCATGTTTAATATAGATTTTTTTTATGTACATTGCACATTGTATCGTTTATTGTACTGTACATCTCATGCAGTACTGAATACTTGCATATTGACAAAAAAATTATTCATAGAATGTATTCTATTTTGCTTTATTCTATTATTTTCTACTACTCTATGCCATTCTATAAATAAATAAATAAATAAATAAAACGACTTTAGATGATCTTCCAAACGTTTTCCCATGCATCTCATTGTTGCCCACTCTCTCCAAAACACCTCAACAAGAAAACTCCAGAATGGAATCTTCATTGTGGAAGAGAGAGAGAGAGAGAGAGAGAGAGAGAGAGAGGGCAAAGGCGCGTGCCTGATGACGCAGTCACTCTTTTTGCCGAGTATCATGGGAAAATAACATAGCAGGCTAGCACGCGCAGGAAGAGAGGAGAAGAACCGAGACCTCCGCGGAACGAAACTATTCCCGTGCGTTATATTCCTCATTTACGTCCTCGAACAAGTGTAGACCGGCGACCTGAAACCGTCTTAAACTGCCCAACGTATCGCGAAGTGTTCACGGTTGTTGTTGTTTGTTTCAGTTGTCGGCTTGTTGGATATTTAGCGCGTGTCGCTGTCGAGCGAGTTCGCGGAAGAAGAGGTGGGTAGTTCAATTTACCTTTCATAAACCACTACAGGCATTCTCCACTCTTTAATACACCAACTGTATTTCGTATTCATATAAAACGAGTCGTTATTTTACCCTAGTTTAAAATAATGAGAAAGTCAGTCAACCACAGGGGGTTTCTATAGAGAAGGCACGGGTTAAAGCCGGTTAAGTTTAGAGGGGACCGTCTTTTCTGCCCGCTAGCTTTTACCATGTCTCTCACCTCTTCTTATGCCTATCTGTATAGCTACTCTTTGTGTTTACATTAGGTCAGCGTCGTTCCTGCTTCAGATACTAAAGCCCGTCGAGATTACATTCAGAAGATAAGCAGAAACTTTATCAAGCGAGGTTACAGTCGACGGCGGTGTGAATATGAGTTACAAGCCGATCGCCCCCGCACCCACCGGCTCCAACCACACGCCACCAGGTGAGTTTCATTGTGCTCCCGGTTCATTCATTTCTTTTTTTACATTCATATTTATTCCATTTGAGGTAGTTTTTGTCCAGCATCTTTTCGAACGTACCGTTTTAATCCCGGGGAAAGGGGTCAGTGAACCTACTGTAAAAGAGATCAGAGACACGGATAAACGGGGAGGAGTTAAAGGAGCCATAGCCATCTGTCTCGCTCATTACATTAATGTGGTATATTGTGCTGCTAACCGCACCCTATCGCGTTTGGGTTTAAAAGCTAACCGTTTTCTTACCCATTTGTGAGTGTACCATGCCATCACATCAGTGCATCTAATATTGGCTGTATTTGACCTCACTTCCTTTCATACACGCACACACTGGGTGGCGAGATGTCATTGGTCGAGTTTGGCCTTTTGACACTTCCTTGATTTGTGATTGGTCTTCCTCTTGCTTTCTGGTATTAGGATCATGTGGCTCATCTCCATCACTGGCTTCCTCTTCTAACTTTAGACCAGCATTTAGTGACTTTGGTCCACCATCAATGGGCTTTATACAAGTAAGTTAAATTTTTATAGCAGTGGGCTTTTTAGATACATTTGCAGACTTTAAATTATGATGATAAATGCCCAGTCGGTCTGTTTTATTTGGAATAAATACACTACTGGTTTAAAGTTTTTTTTTGAAAGAGGTTTCTTATGCTCACTAATGATGCATATATTTAATCAAAATACAGTAACATACAATAAAAAACTGTAATATTTTGAAATATTACATTGAAATATAAAAGATTTACATTTAAATTTTTTTCAAATGTAACTTATTCCTGTGGTGGCGATTCTGAATTTTCAGCAGCCATTATTTTACTAAGTGTCACATGGTCCTTTAGAAATAATTCTAATATATGGATTTGCTGCTTAAGAAACATTTCTTATTTCTTAATCAACGGTGACAACAATTGTGCTACTTAATATTTTTGTAGAAACTGATACACTACTGTTCAAAAGTTTGGGTTAAATTAGAGTGGGGGGGGGTTATTTTTATTCACCGAGGACGCAATAAATTGATCAAAAGTGACAGAAATCTTACGTAACATTATAAATGTTGTAACTATTTCAAATAAATGCTGAAATATTTTTTTACTTTATATTCATCAGAGAACCCTGAAAATATTAAGCAACAAAAACACTAATATTAAGATCCATTATTATTAATAGAGCAACAATAATTGATAAAAAACCAAATCAGCATATTACAATGATTTCAGAAGGAGTAACGACAGCTGAAAATTCATCTTTGCCATCGCAGGACTTGAAACTGTAAAATATATTCAAAATAGTAAACTTATTTTAAAATGATAATATTTCAAAATATAACTGTTTTCACTGTGTTTGTGATCAAATAAATGCAGCCTTGGTGAGCACAATAGACTTCTTACAAAACATTAAAAAAAAATCTTTATTCCAAACTTTTGAAAGGGTAGTATGAGAATGCGTATATACTGTGTGTGTATATATATACAGTGGGTACGGAAAGTATTCAGACCCCCTTCAATTTTTCACTCTTTGTTATATTCCAGCCATTTGCTAAAATCATTTACGTAAAAATTTTTTCCTCATTAATGTACACACAGCACCCCATATTGACAGAAAAACACAGAATTGTTGACATTTTTGCAGTCTTATTATTTGGTTAAATGTTTGCTTGTTTGAAATGGCTGATGTATCTTTCTGTCTTTCATCAGGTATCATCCACGCACGTGCTCTTGTCAGGGAGTGTCTAGCGGAGACAGAGCGAAGTGTTCGCACATAACATCCACACACACGCACCCTCCCTCTGGTACTTGTCTTATCTTGCCCTATTGATTTAAGACTTTTTAAGGCCTTAAATTTTATACAACTAAATTTAAGACTTTTTAAGGACCCACGGAAACCCTTAAAGAATTTATGCTTGGTTTTGATATTTACCATCGTATTTGTTGATGATAGAAGAGCAGTGCTCCAAAACCTCATAGTACTGGCCCAAAAGATTCTTGCACTGGCAATAGTTGAGGAGGAGAGGAGTGATCATGAGATCTAGTTTGATCCAATGGTCATCACCCGGACGCTCCTATAAACAGAGAATATATGTTTAAAGTAAAATTTCCAACCTTGAATATAATAATACACTTTTGACTAGGGCTGCACAATGGTTAAGCACAAGTCAAGGAAATGTCAGCTCATATGCAGGGTTTATTTTTACCCCATCTAATTTCCTGCTTTATTGTATACATTAACGCTCTAAATGATGAAAACTCTCAAAATCTTAAAAAGCGAAATATTACTTCCAAATTATTTTACTATTTTGCTATTGACAACCTTGAATTGTAGCACAGAGGTTGTCTAAATGCATTTATTCAGTTACCACAATTACAAACAAATGCAAGATTCATATTTGGATTTATTTGTCAATGAGAATGTTTGCTCACAAATTCAGTCTCAGCAAACAGCACAAGTGGCTTTGTAGAGGAAAGCAGACTGGCTATATGACACTTTCATCGGAGCAGAATATCTCAATGGAGATTCCTTAACTCCAACATACATGTTTGTCTGTGTTTACAGATCATTAGTGCTTTTTTGCAGGCCAGAGTGCAAGTGCGCATGGTTGCCACTTTGGGAGATTAAGCAAAACACAGGGAGGAAAATTTATCTAATTAAGAAAGGGCTGTCCAAACTCGGTCCTGGAGGGCCGGTGTCCTGCAGAGTTTAGCTCCAACTTGCCTCAACACACCTGACTGGACGTTTCTATGCCTAGTAAGAGCTTGATTAGCTGGTTCAGGTGTGTTTAATTAGGGTTGGAGCTAAACTGCAGGACACCGGCCCTCCAGGACTGAGTTTGGACACCCCTGAATTAAGAGAAAAGCTCTGATTGGGGGATCTGAACTCTTGACATCTGGCAACCCAAGCATGAACTTTGTAATGATTTGTACCTGGACTTTAAAGAGGACTCTTTTAAGTGATAGTTTCTCAGTCCACATTACATTCACACTGGTCTTTTTAGAAAACCAAACAATGTGAAAATAATATTATTTTGATATTAGAGATGATAATGATAATTGTATAAAATTATATACTACTACTTTAATACAACTGCAGTGTAAAAATTCATATTTAATAGTAATATATTAATTACTTTACTTAACAGTTGTAAAATCACAGTATATATGTCTTAATTTCTTCACTTGCAAGCGTTAAAACCGGCACCATGCTTATTTTGGCAGAAAACTCCAGGGAGACCTCTTAAGTTTCTGTGACAGCAGGTATACAAATACTTCATTACAAATCCAGTGAACTGCTGTAAACAGCTGTCAACAAAACATTAGAATTTATGCAAATATGTAAAAATAAAGTGAACCTGGCGCACATTGCGTTCCCAAACTTTCAGCATATGCAGAGATGGAGTTTACTGCATTTACTGAGAATAGAGCCACTCTGAGACACTGAAAACCCCGGAGGATCATGCACATTAATGCAATGTCATGCTTCACTTTAAAACACAGAGTGTGTCAGACTATAAGTGTAGAAATAATTTTGGTTCATTTTGAAACTATGGCAGAACAGATTCACAGTCTAGGTAATTAACGAGGACCACTCATTGCTCAGCAGCTATTAAGGCTGACCTTCATCTGTAAGTTCTTCAGACAAGCTATGGCACTGTAGTACTTCTCAGCAGCTGCTGTAATATCTCCACTCTTGAAGAGCGCATTTCCATCCTCATGGATATGTGGTATGGCCTGCATTTTCTCCTCATCTGTCATTGCCCAAATTTCCAATTGGAAGGATCCAGGGGGCAAGATCTTGGGAAGATGACAATTAGAATCATGAATCAGCAAGTGGGAATTACCAACAGCTATTTTGTAATTTAGGTATATTTTTTTCTTAAATTAGTAGAAATGCATATTATATTTAGTTCAATTGGAGGAATAGTTCCCCCAAGATGATATGTATGATTCTCTTTCAGCTGTTGAACACAAGATATTTTGAAGAATGTTGGTAACCAAACAGTTGACGGTAACCACTGACTTCCATAGCATGGAAAAAAATATATTGAAAGTCGATGGCTACCATCAACTTTTTGGTTATCAACATTCTTCAAAATACCTTGAGCAGAAAACTGAAACTCATACAGGTTTGGAAAAAATAGAGGGTGAGTAAATGATGATAGAATTTTCATTCTTGGGTGAACTATCCCTTTAACACCTTAAAATGCTTTTGGAACGGACAGGAATTTTAGTTATGATGCTGTTCATGTGGTTATCTGAGCTCTCTGTCCACTTTTATGTAAAACTGCACCTCTTAAAATGAGATCATGCTACTGTTTCTCACCTCTAGCATTTCCAGAGTAAAAACTAGAGGCTGAGGATTAGCCTGCAAATTATCCAGATCGGGGTGACCCATAGAATGATGCGAGTGAACCTGAGCTATTCCACAGCAGTGTCTCTGTCCTTCCAGAGGGTCTTTTCCATGGCTGATGTTGCGTAGTGACCGAGAAACCAGAGGGTAGAGAGCTGTGTGCTATTAAAGTATTAAAAACAAAAAAATAAGTACTATCAGAACGAATAAAAAAGTATTATTATTTGTATTTATTTACATATAATATTTACATGTATGTAATATTACAAATATGTAGATGGGTACATATTAGCAGGCAGAGCGAAATTCACTGACCATGACATCACAGGTGAACTCAGCAATTTCACCCTCTCTCATAGTGGTAACCACTTGCTCCCATACAGGAAGCTTAAACTTCTTCCCCAGTATGAGCTCCATAGGTTTACTGTGACCTCCCATTGTCCTGGAGTCATCCAAAACAGTGCCATCGCAAAGGCTAGTGTGGTAATGAAACTTCACCTTTCAAGAGAGAAAAATACAAAATCATTCACTTGACTTTATTATAAAGCATTTAATGTATACCTGATATTTGTTGCATTGACATTTTGTTTGATTAAAATTCTCTACATTTGGAGCCCAACAGGCTCTCAGTGCAAGAACAGTTTGTTTACATTTAGTATTGCCCAGCTATGCTAATTCTTTATTCGATTCACATTTTGTCTTAAAGGGGTGGTTGACTGGGTTTTTTCTAGGCTTGATTGTGTTTATGGGGTACAGTCTAACATGTGTTCATGCTTCGTTTAAAAAAAAACACATTATTTTTCTATGTGAAAATAAGTGTATAAATGGAACAGTTTGTTGGAGCTGATCTGAGATCTGAATGAGAGAGAGAGAGATATGCAGAGCAGGGGACGTGAGGAACAGTATTAAGAACTTCTGCTTTAGAACATTGGTTTTGAAACCTGTGAATCCATTAGAATCGTTAAAAGACAGAATCGCGATTCATATATGAACAGATTTTTACGTGCACCTCTAGTTTTC